TACATTAAATGCAAAAAGTACAAAAACTCATCAACACATTCTCTCAAAAACTTTACAAAACACAACAAAGACTTGAGCCTTAACTCGAAGGTGCCATCCTCAAAAGACATCACAAATGGTCTTCAAAAGCATAACTCTAGGGTATTTACAAGTCACCTACATACATATGGGGGAATGGGGTGAGCTAAAACCCAATGAGTAACATCAATGTGAAGAGGTTAATGAGTGAGTTTCAAATATTCATAAAACATTCATATCATTTTCATAAAGCATTTGTATCAAAATATTCATAACATTTTTCAGAGATGTAAATTTGTATACAGAGCTTTTATCAAACATTCATAGCTATACAGAATATGTGGTGCATCCATTAGCACTAAGCAGAACGACCATTTAGGTCCAAAACGACCACTTCAGGTCTAGAACCATCACAATGGATCGAAAATAGAATAGAGATCTCCAAAAATCAAGGCATATAAATGTCTCTCAATGGTTAGGACTCGCTAAAGATGCCACAATAGATACAAAAAGGGAATTTCATTCATTCGTTTCAAAATACAAGTTCAAAAATCATATCATATTGGAACATTTTAGAAATTATAGTACTTAAATATCTTTGTTACCCAAAAAGCAACCTAAGAGGGGGGTGAATTAGGTTTCTACAAAATAAAATTAATAATACCACAATAAAATTAACTACTAGTACAACAAATTATTAACAAGCACAATGATAAACTTAGTAGTAAATGATCAAGCAAAATAACAATGAAGTATAACTAAAATACAAGGTAAATCAAATGATTAACACATGAATATTAGATAGCTATAGCAGTAGTATGAAAGTAAAGAGATTAGGGAAGAGGAGACAAACAGATTTATAGTGGTTCGGCTTCAACCAAGCCTACATCCACTCCTCAAGCTTCACTTGAGATTTTCCACTATCTTCCAGCTTCACAGGGGTGCTAGCAATTTCGTTATAAATGGAACAATCCTCCACGGATTTTACACAGACTTTACAAGCCCAAACTCTTGCAAATCTTAGGTGATTCACAATCACTCTCAAGATTTCAAGAACACAGTGTTTGTAACACTTTTACAAGATGAAATGATATTTTTGCTTTCAAAGAAAGCTTGCAATAAATATCTCTCAAAGATAGATATATAAAATGAAACTTTGATTTTTCTGTAAATCTCACACAGGAAAAATAGACTTAAAGCTATAAGGCTCAGTGTATAATTTCTGAGAAAAGATGTGAATGATTATAGATCAAAGAATATTTTCAGATTTTTTGTAACTTGTTTACATTAGAGGCTTTGGTATATATAATGAAAATTATAGCCGTTTATAACCGTTGTATTCATTTGAATTTATAGTCGTTTATAGCCGTTGTAATCATTTGAATTTATAGCCGTTGTACTTCCATCATTATAAATTTGAATATCTTTCATTCCATCATTATAAATTTGAATATCTTCCACCTGAACCCTTTGAACCTTTTGGCCTTTTGAACCTTTATAGCGATTTATAACCATTGTACTTCCATAATTACTAATTTGAATATCTTCCACTTGAACCTTTTGAACCTTTTGGCCTACTGTTGTGCTAGGCTGTTTGAACCTTTGTTTTGGGCTGTTTGAACTCTTGATTTAATCAAAAATTAAATACATTCTAACAACATTTAGGATAAAGGTTTAGGTGAGAAATAATGGGACAAAATAAATTTTGATTCTATTTTTCTCTATCAAATAAATCATCAAAATAAATTTTGATTCTATTTTTCTCTTTCAAATAAATCATCAAAATAAATTTTGATTAAAATATAATTAAATAAATCATCAAAATAAATTTTGATTAAAACATAATTAAATAAATCTTCAAAATAAATTTTGGATTCTATTTTTCTCTTTCAAATAAATTAAAACATAATTAAATAAATTATCAAAATAAATAAGTCTAACAATCTTTACAAAGATATTACTCACAATAGGCTTGGTTCTAGTAAATCCCTTCGTCGTTTCAACCTATAAATGCACATACATCTATTGATAATACACAATAATTAATTGAATTCTTGCTCTTGTTTCCTAATAAATTAACTTATGTTGGTCTCTAGCTTAATTAACCCTTAATGAGGCCTAATTCATGTTTAAAGATGCTCGGAATAAGAACTGAAAGAAAATATAAACAAAAAGGTAGTTTTCAAAATTTGCTTGAAACAAGTGTCCGCTCGAGCGGTGAACTTGGTTTATTAGAATTTCAATTTGCAAAACAAAATTTTGGATCTTCATTTTCTTCGCTCGAGAGGTAAACAGATCGCTTGAACGGTCTACAAATATATAGCTTCTAAAATTCTGCAGAAATGGCTTTCCAAAACATAATTTCAAAACTTGGGTTCATGCATGACTCAACTCAAACATGCAATTTCATCAAACTAATGAAAACAACACTCTAATCAATGTACTCAATTATATAAAATGACTATTTTATTTTTCGAAATGCATGTATTTCTTACAAAATATTATTAAGAATACTTGTAATTGTTGTTTCCCATAAAAAAATTATTCAAAATTAAAATTAGCAAAATTTTACCTTAAATCAACTATGTCAATTTTAAATGTAAAATGCTTATTTTTTAGTTGTCATTTTAGGGCACAGATGTTTTAGGGCCAACCCTAGGATGGCTAGATTAGGCCCGATGTTAGGTCGAGTCAAGCTTGGGATAACACGTGCTCTTACCATATGGTGTAAACCCGATCCAAACTTGGCTCTGGTTGGTGTTTGTCCACCCATATTGACAAGATATAAGGTGTCTGAAGCATATAATTCAAATTCTAGAAGTATAAATCAAGTTACAAAGATCTTATATGGGTTGAAACAATTCAAATGTATGTAGTACAATTGCTTCAATGAATATTTATCGAAAGAGGGATATGAGAATGATCCAATTTGTCTATGCATTTTTACTAAGAAATTGAAATCCAAATTTACAATTATTGTGATATATGTTAATAATTAGAATCTTGTATGAACTTTAGAGGAACCTACAAAAGCTGTATAATATTTAAAGAAGAAATTTGAAATGAAAGATTTTGGCAAAATAATTTATAATGACAAATTTTGTTAACCTTGTTTATGACAAATAAACAGAAGGGTGAAACTGTAAGCTGACTTTAAAATTTAGGCTAAATTACGCTTTGCCCTCTTTATCTTAAAATTTGAGCAATGCTATTTACCCTACCTTTTTTCTTAGGATCCCCTACATTTTTTTTAATTCCAGTTTTGTTCAAACATAAAATTTCATTTTTACCTCCATCCCAAACTTTCTAATCTTAATTTCCCAAGCTTTAACCCTAATTCCACCAACTATCCCATTACCCCAACACCAATTGCCTCTTCCCATTCTGGTCTGCAACCTCCATTGTCATTACCAACATCACCTCTAACTACTAACACCTCTAGCCTTACTCACAAACTACCAGTAATGCCACCACCCACACCACTTTAGACTCTCTTTCTCTATCTTAATCTATCTATCTCTCGCTTGATTGCAATTACGATCACAGAAGATCAATGATTGTGGCAATCTACCTTCCTTATATGATTGTTACAATTATAGTGCTATTTGTGATCTCCCCAAATTTAGTTTGGTAGTTCAAACCTAAACAACCGAACTACCATCATTTGTTCGGTGCTGGATTTTCGAACCAAGTAAGACGATTTCAAATGAAGAAAAAAATCGAACACAAGCATGGTGTGAAAGGACTCTAGGGTAGTAGTGTGGATGGCATCGATGACAAATGATTGAGATTAATGGAATAAGAGATTTGGATGAAAGAAATGAGGTGGAAGAAGGAAAATGAAGATAAAGCTAGAAAGGTGGGCCGTAGGAAAAGAAAAGTCGTCAGTAAAGAAGGGGGTTAAAGGAAAGTCTCTAGTGGAAGAAAATGACGATGGAAGGGTTGTCGGAGGTGAGAGAGATTGTTAATTGAAAAATGTTGAGATGAGAGTTTAAAAGAGATTGTTAATTGAAAAATGTTGAGATGAGAGTTTAAAAGGTATATTTCAAAATATGAAAGGGGTAAAAAAGAAGGCAATTTTACTGATAGAAATTCAAAGGAGAGAGAGAGAAACATTTATATAATCTATTTATCTATCTATCTATCTATCTATCTATACTATTATAAAGTGAACACCTCTTATGGTGTCTTGAAACCTTTGTTTCTTATGCTGCCATGTGTCTACTTTTTTCTTTGAAAAAAAAAAAAAATTAGATAGATGAGAGGAGGGGATTTGAACTTTAGACTTGTGTCAAATGAGTAAGACTTTTACCACTTAATTAGCACACAATATATGATAAATGTTTTATTTTATTTTTATTTATTTGAATTACACACGCATCGCGTGTGCCAACCGCTAGTTCCTAAAATTTAAGGGGTTGATGGTTATTTTACTCCCATCAACTATTACCCTTTTTTTAACATGGGAATGACTTCTGTTCAGTCCTTAATCGGACTGGACCGTGCTGTTGGACTTGTGGAGGTTCACCACGGGTCCTGTTTTGATAATTTGAACCGTTCAATGTGTAAAACTCGTCGAATACTATATACTTACAAAAAATCACATTGATCGGATATCGATAGCTATGTGATCAAAACAGATTTTTGTCAACCGTTAATTTATTCACCGTTCATTTTTTTTATACAAAACTGATTTGATTACATAACTATCGATATCCGATTAACATGATTTTTTATAGACATATAGTACTCGACGAATTTTACATATTGAACGATTCAAATTATCAAAACGAAACCCATGATAGACCTCTACGAACCCAACAACACAATCCAATCTGATTAAAGACAGGACTGCACGGAAGCCAGGCCCTTTTAACATTATCCCCAAAATTGATACATATCCTCAACTTCTCAAAATTTTCAAACCCTGTCTCGATTTTCAATCTAACCCTAATCCCCAAACACTGCTACCCTCCTACTTAATACGCGAGCTCTCTCTCTCTCTGTACATGTAGCGCTTCTCTCTTTTACGCACACACTCACTCACAGGTGCACCGAAGGCATTCGCCGAAGCTCTAGCGACTAGCATCTTCTTCCATAACTGTAGCCTCAGCATCTACTGCCGGAGCCGTAGCTCTGAGGTCATCTCTCTCTCTCTCTCTCTCTCTCTCTCTCTACATCTGTCGAATTCTCCGAAGTCATCATTATGCATGTTCTAGCTATTTCTTTCATGGTTCGAAATAGATTATATTTTTAATTTGAACTCATTTTGATTATCGTTCACAATTGATTATTTGAATTTTCTTCAAAATTAATTGATTGGAACCTGGTGGAATTCATTTTCCAGTATTTGGTTGTATAATAAAACCAAGGAAACGTTTTTGAGTGAACTATTTTAGCCCCAAAAGCGAATAACTGACTCATTAGTCTAGTTTACGGTAGCCATTTTTCGAACAAAAATTGACACTTCTTGAGTGGCTGGGAATGATAGGGTTTTCCAGTGTTTGGTTGTTTGATGAAATGCATTGAAGAGCTGTGTGCCTAATATCATTGCCAATTTTTGGTTTTGTTACATAGAAGATTTTATTGTTTGGGTTTAGGGATGGCAATGGGGACCAACCCGTACTTACGGATTTTCCCTGTTTACCTATAGGATCAGTTAGGTACCAACTTTAGAATCCCCGATCGGAGATGGTTATATAAAATCCCCGATCGGAGATGGTTATATGCTAGCAACCGATGCACAGGCAATGCGTGTGCAATTTTGTCATGTTTCACAAACAAACAATATTAAATTATAAATTATTGGTGTTAAAGTGATGGAGTTTGGTGGTGTAATACAATATTTTGTGTGAAGATAATACATAATTTTTTTTTTTAAATTCCACATTTTAGTGCCTTTATGATATATATATATATAATCTTAAAAATAAAAATTATGAACATGCAAAAGCAAATTTACATCCAAATCCAAATATTTTTTAATATATTAATCTCAAAATACTAAAATTAACAAACCCCAAGGGGTTGGACTGGTAGCAATGCCTTAGGTCTTTGGGGTGTGCTCCTTCTAAGGTTTAGGGATCGAAACCTCTTAAGTGCTAACAATTCGTTGGGGCCATCGGATTGGGAGAAAATCCTTGAATTAACCGTGGTGTACTTGCAAGAAGCTCTTTATCAAGGGCCTGTACATGAATAAAAAGTTAGCCTTCACAACTCAACCACTATAACACACACTCCTTCACTAAAATTAGAGCAATTCATCAAATTTATAATTTTTACTCATAATTTTACTTAGAAACAAGAATGTGTGGTTGAGATTTGCTATATACATGAACCCTACAATATGCCAATTAAATCTCAATCATGCTTCTTAATTTTAAAAATAATTTAATTGACAAATTTTGAATAAATAAAATTTTCCTACATACGCACAAACACTACCCAATACCCACTTTTCAAGTTACCAAAGATTAACCCACTACATGGCCACCACCACACACACCACGAACGGCAGTCCCTAGCCACGCAAACCACCAAGACTTTTTAAAACATGATCAAACAGTGGCCGCTTGCCATCCTATAAGATTTACACATTCACACTAAAAATGGATAGAATAATAAAAGAAAGAAAATAAACATATTTACATACACTGTACTTGACTATTAGTAATTGGTAAAGAAAAATGCTATGAACCCCAAACATTTTACTAAATAAATTACCAAACACATACATGGGTGCCCATGTATGTGTTTGGTAATTTATTTAGTAAAATTTTTGGTAACTCTAGCATTACCCTGCAATTACATATAGTTAAAATGAATTAATTTGTAAAAGGGTGGAAATTATATTATTTTTGGAATAGAAATTTTGAAACAAAGAATAGTGTCAACACCAACTCTGTGTTTCCATATATATGTAAAGAAGATTAGGGTTACCTCATTTTTGTTTCATTTTCTCACAGCTAGAGTGGCCTCACTATCTCACTCAGGGCGGCGGGCCTCCCAGCGGTGACGCTCAAAGACCAAAGTGGTTCACTTGCCAGGTAAGTTTCTACTTCGTGTTTTCTTTCTCTAAATACGTACGTATCTGCATGTGTATATATTGATATACAATGTCTATATTTGTGTCTATATATTTTTTCAATATTTGTATATTTATGTTTATACAATTATGAAATCAAAACCACCTTCTATACTTTGCAAAAGAAGAAAAAATAATTGAAAGAATAACTTTCACAATGCACAGAAGGTGTTTGGCTAAATGTCTGAATGAGTTTATATTTGTTTCTCAGCACAACTTTGTTCCTAGTGGGCTGTTCTCCACATGGTTTTGTTGATTTTGGGTTGGCGGACTCACAGATGAACTCCTTGTAGCATTCAATCAATAGTTAAATTCATTATAGTTTGGTTTGTCATTGATTTCTTTAAAAGCATGATTAGTTCAACAGATTAATTAAGCTTCTTGCTTGATTGACCTTATTCTAAATCATGGGTTTATACATCAAATTGCATTTTTAGTTTGTTCATCATTGGCTTTTGCCAAAAAAAAAAAAAAATGATAGTTTATATGAGAATTGCTGAGAATATTTACCAGTTAAAAAAAAAATGGGTCTGGGTTGGGGAAAACCGAACCAGTTAGGGGATGGGGAGTTCAAAAACCGCTCTGTTGCCCTCTTTTGCCATCTCTATTTGGGTTCATAAGGTTTGGCCATTTAAATGAAATCTTTGTGTTATTTTGATGCTGAGAGGTTACAAATTAATTTTCAGAAAATATTTTTGGCATTGCAAGTTTTCAGCCAAATGCCAGAAAATAATAATAGTGAATTTATTTTACACACAATTTTTGGGATAATGTATTTTTTTTCGAAAATTGTTAGTAGACTGTATGTTTGACTTTTATATGGAAAACGCTATTTTTGTTGGGGAAAAAAATATTTTCTTATTTCTTCATTCCACTTTCTCATCATTTGTATGATTTGGACTCCATGGATTTCTTCGAAATAAACAGATCATTAATAGGTTGTATGTTTGACTTTTATATGAAAAAAGTTATTTTTGTTAGGGAAAAAAATATTTTCTTATTCCTTCATTCCACTTTCTCATCATTTGTATGATTTGGACTCATTGATGACTTTAACATGGACTCTTTGCCCACATATTTCATTTTCTATTAATTATTTGATGGCTTCCTTTCATTTGTATATTCTTTGGCTAGATTCAATTTCTTACAGTCGCAAAATCGTTGCTTTTGAGACATAATTGTCCAAGAAGATAGGTAAGTTCGTATCCATTAATGATCAGTTGTTACTGTTGGCTAGTACTTGGCAAAGTTTATAAAGGCGAATGCGTAATGCAAGGCGCTTCACCTCTCATGAAGTAAGGCATAAATCTTAAGGCGTCAAGGTGTAACCATTTTGAATTTTAAAATTTTATACTTGTAAATAAATTAAATATTTTAAAATAGCAAAAATAATTAAAAATTAAATATAAATGTGTAATTACTTTTCTCCACAAGGTGGCAAACACCTCATTGCAAATAAGGAAACTTACTCTTATTGAAAGTGAAATTGACATTCTTAACTTTAATGATTAAGCTTCTCACTTGAGTATTAAATTTTAGGGGTGGGCGCGGGTCGATTGCGGCCACGGAACCTCCAATCTGCCATCCGTCCGCCAGATTGGCGGATTGGAGAAAATTAATCCGCAATTATTATATGTATATATTGTTATATAATTGCTATAAATGTCATTTTGACACTATAAGTTAAATATAATACCATTTTATCTCACATATTAGATTAAAAATATAAAAATATGACATATTTTTGCCGAGTCCGCGTATCCTTAAATTTATGATTTAATGAGTCCGACCTCTAGATACATACCCGCACCCGACACCCGTACCCGAGTCCATGTAACATTGGTGGCAAACACCTCATTGCAAATAAGGAAACTTACCCTTATTGAAAGTGAAATTGACATTCTTAACTTTAATGATTAAGCTTCTCACTTGAGTATTAAATTTTAGGGGTGGGCGCGGGTCGGTTGCGGCCACGGAACCTCCAATCTGCCATCCGTCCGCGCGCCTCGCGCCTCGAAAAAAAGCCCTCGCCTCAGCGCCTAAGCTGCGCCTCGCCTCTTGCGCCTCGCCTCGACCTGTTCGAGGCGCAAGGCTGCGCCTCGAGCTTAGGCGCGCGCCTAAGCGCGCTTTTTAAAACACTGGGCGGATGGATGCGAATCGGTTTGGCGGTTTAAAATTTTATAAATTTTCAATATAATTCAACTTGTGCACTTTCTCAAAAAAAAAAAAGAAAAAAAAGAAAAGAAAGTATTACAGTTAATGACTTAAAAAAGTATTACAATCACTGTATACCTCATCCAAAGAAAGAAAGCTTGAAACTTTAGAATATCACAATCACTACATGTCTCATCCACATATACAATCATAGCATAATTCATCCACATAAAGTATTACAATCTGTGGTTCTAAAAATATAAAAACAATTCAAATCACCAAAACTATGAATAGAGCAGTAGTAGAGATCGTATGCCTCTCTATTGTGACATCTATATATGTTTTTGAAAACAAAAACCAACCAGCATATATCATATTTTCTATTTATTATTTTTAGAGTTAGATTTAAAAACCAAAAAATATAGATAAATTATATGTTTATTTTTTTCAATTCAAAAAATATATTCAAGTTGAAAACTTTTTTTCAACAGAATATTTAAACTCATTTTCAATTGAAAACACAAACAAAATATTTAAACAAATTGAAAATACAAAGTCTTATAAATTAGTAGGGGTGTTTGCGGTTTGGCGGTTCGGTTGCGGCCAAAGGAATCTCAAATCCGCCATTCGTCTACCAAATTGGCAGATTGGAGAAAATCAATCTGCAACCGTTCGTTCGTCATCACGCATCCGTCCAAAATGTGGCGGATCGGTTCGGTTCGGTTCGGTCGGTTTTGACGGATTGGTATATCCGCTGCTTACCTCTATTAATTTTGTGTTTTTTCTTGATTGATCATTTACTTAATTTTTCCTATAAAATATAATTGCAAAAGTGATTCTTTTTATTTTTTGGTTTTCTATATATATACCATTTGCTAGACTAAGGCTAAGTTTGGGAACTTGTAAAAAAGTCAAAAAGTTACTCAAAAAGTTAAAAAGTTAACACTATTCACCAAAAGTCAACAATTACGGCTGCACAACTCCCAATTCGAATTTTTCCCTACAAATTAATTTTTACAATTTTTTATTACATATTTTTTTATAAAAAGTCAAAAAGTTAACCCAAACATCTATGTTTTCAACCTCAATTTTTTAGTCCAAAAAGACAAAAAGTGTACTTATTTGGGACACTCCAAACAACCCTTAAGTTTAACAAGAACCTAAGACAAGCTCTTTATATGCGTATTCCTCATATGCTTATGTGCCAAAGCGTACAAGGCGTACCTAAGGCGCATGCCTCAGACTGTATTATGCGCATGGCTTTGGGGAGTATATCTCAAATATCAAAGCCTTGATGTGTTTTTGCCTTGAGGCGAGCATCGAGGCGAGCCTCAATAAAGCATTTTAAAACTTTGGTACTTGGTAGAAGTTATTTCTTGCATTATTAAATTAGGGTGATTACACATAAAAATAGGTTTGTGTGCCTAAATTTTCCATGCAACCATTACATATCCACTTAGATTTTGGTCCTTTTTTTTAATGGAGTCTAGTATACTGAAATTTGAGAAATCCTAACATTCTTAAATCAGTTTGAAAATCTAATACGAGCATCATAGCATTCTAACGATGTTAAGAATGAAAACTTAAATGGACATTTTAGTCATTTTAATTTTTTAAATACACACTAACACATGCCTAAGGGAAAGAAGTCCAAACTCTGAGCCCACACACTACCCTCAAAAAGGCCTGTGTTACCAATAAGGTGAGGCGTTAGTATACCTCCTGTAGGTTATTGATCTATATTGTCATCAATTTGGATGCTTATGTGAACTGCCTGATTACTGAAAACTGAGGATTTTTGGAGGGACGGGTTTTAAACTTGTGGGTATGGAAACTCTCAGCTCAGCTTCATATATTTTGAATTTGAATTTGTTGATGCATGAAAGCAAGTACATACAGTGGACTTGAGATGCTTGCTGGGCTACAGAATATAAGGGAACTGTTAATGCCATTTGATTCAGATGCACAAGGAGCTACCATTATGCTGTTTCGAGTTTCAACAGCAATCTATGCTCCTCTCTGACATCCTGGTCGGATATTCATACCCTTGTTTAGGATACTCGGCTATTCTTGCTTGAATTCAATTTTTATGTCTTTTAAAATTTAAAGGGACATGATAGTGGGATATGTTGCTTCTCAAGCTGTGCTCTTTGTTCCCTAATATATAAGAACAGGTTTTTAATGAATAAAAAAGGAAAAAAAAAGAGCTGCAAAACATAAGCATGCTTCATGACCTTATTTACTTCAATAGTTTTACTTGTTTTTTCTATGCAACAGATATGTTCACTGAACATGTTTCTTGATTTTGTTTATTTTATCAAAAAGGAAAAATTACGATGTCACCAAATGTAACCTAAAGAAATGAAGTTGCCTCTCTTTCACTCCATATTGTTGATTTACTTGTGAAACAACTTGGGTATGTTTGGTTTGCATTTGGGAGATGAGTTTTAGAAAAAAAATTTTAAAAAATTGTTTGGTTTGAGTTTTTCTCAAAAAATTTTCAAAATCACTTTCTCTCTCTTACACATCAATCAATCACTTTTTCTCTCTCCTCTCTCCTTCTCAATCACTTTTTCTCTCACACGCATCTACTCAAATTCTCCCAAAATATCAAATCATCCCAAACTCCTAAAAAAACAACTCTCCCAAAATATACAACCAAACAAACCAAAAAAATTTCTAAACTCTCTCCTCAATTTTTTTTTGAAAAACAACTCTCTAAAAAACAAACCAAACAAGCCCCTTATGTTTACTAGTTTGTACTTTACATTGAAAGCTCCTCCACCCTCTCTTATTTACTATTCAGTCTGAAGCTTAATTCCTTAAAATATATCTTTTTGGATTGGATTTGATACACAGACTCACATGCACATGAAATAACATAATACTGCTATAACAGACGCTTAAGTTACACACACAAACACTTGGTTGACTGTACGTAAAGTTTCAAAGGAGATAAGACAATACTAGCATAATCATTAGTTATGTTCTTTGACATGACCAGTATTTGAAGCCTGTGAGAATGATCAAAATATTTATTCTAAAGTGTACACCATTGGAAAGCCCACTTGATGTGCTAAGAACCACTTCAGTGAAGGTGAAAATTTAAAACCCAAAATTCATGGTCTGATTCGCTGGATCATTTTGTTAAAACCTATCACCTACTTCACCCACTTAAACCTACTCCACTAAACCTAACCCACTACACCACTACCACCTCCACTTCACCTACGGAAATAATAAAAAAATGAGTTTTTCTGTCTCCCTTTCTTTCTTCTTCAATACCATCTTATTATTGTTATTATTATTTTTCTAAATTACTACAATTGACTGACCTCTTCAAAGTTAGAAAATTAGCGTGTGGGGTTTGGATGGGAAGAAGGGTGAGGCATTTTCTTTTTAACATACAGAGATGGTATATTTAAACAACTTATGGTGGATTTACTGTTGTTTTGTGGACTGAAGGTGCTTTTGAACGTGATGCTGAAACTTGATTAGCCTTAAATATATTATGTTTGTGATTCAATTACATAACTGTTATTGTAAGCTGGGTAATTATGTTATACAGGAAATAGCCGCCATCAATGGAAGTAGAAGTGGCTTTTGAAAAATTAGCATTTGATTTAAACAAAACTTTGAACAATTGGTTTTAGCAGTGGCTTGGATTTTTGTTGGTGGTGCTATCCAGATGATTCATATGTTCTTCAAATACTATGAAAAATATAATGAAGTCATTTAATTTTTATGGGACCAACAAAGGCCCTTGACTACTTAGAATGGGTGTCTTAGAATGATACAAATGCCTGAGGATCTGTTGTTGCATGGACATATTCTGTAAATAGAATGAGGTGCTCCCTTACTAGGCGAGATGCTTGGGTTTGAGTCTTACTGCTGTGTTAAGTACCTTCCCCTTCTCGAATTCCCCCTCCTACTGATTTAAAAAAAGAAAAAGGAAAAAAAAAAGAGAGGAGTTCTATGTTACATGGACTCAGGTATGCGTGTCGGGCACATATATGTATCTATAGGTTGGACTTGTCCAGCTATAAATTTAAGAGTACGCGGACTCGGTAAAAAAATGTCATATTTTTATATTTTTAATAAAGTATGTGGGATAAAATAGTGTTATATGTAACTTACAGTGTCAAAAAGACATTTTTAGCAATTATACAATAATATGTACATATAATAAAAGTGTTTTATACAATTATATAAGAAGTGTCCCTTGAAAAGTATCCGATACATATCCAATACCCTTGTCCAAGTGTCGGGTGTCTGACACGGGTATTTAGTTTATTTTGAAGAGTCCGTGTAACATAGGTTCTGATATAGGTATCAAGTCCGTTTACCTTGCTTGAACAGCTAGCGTAATTAGCTGCTCTAGAGTTAATCCTTGAAACTCTTTTAGTTTTGATATTGATGGACACTTTTTTTATTTTTTATTTTTATTTATTTTTTTTAATAATTTTCCTTTCAATAATGAAAAAGATTGATGCCTCATCCTATATGTAATTATATTAGTAATATAGATTTTGTTGTTTGAGTGCAGACTTCACCTTCATTGGAAGACAACTGTTTCTTTGCTTGGACAGTATATGTAGCAGTTTTTATGGGAAACTTTTTCCATTTACCTTCACCATGAAATCCTGTCTCTTGTAGGCAGTCCCTCTTCCATATACAAAGACAGAAGGCAGTGTGTTCCATGCACAAGATCCATCATGCAAACAGCTTCACATCTTTCTCCAATCTTTTACTTGTTTGAAAGGTCTCCTTTTGTCTCTCTCTGTCTTTCTATATGTATATACACATTCATCTCCTCTGTTTATTGACTTTAACATGTTTACATTTTCTAACCAAATTTCAGGAGAAGCACTATTAAACCCAGTGGTTGGATGAAAACAAAAATCCGATATTCTAGTCAACTTCCCCGAAGACTCAAGTTCACTGGAAGAGATGAGGCTTGCAAGTTCCCCTCAGGTGTCCAAAAAACCAGACTGTTTGTGATTCCTAATACAGATGACGGTCACCCGCATGTGTCTGTCTCTGAAGAAACTACACACCCAATCAATGCCTTGAATCATGAAACAAACACATTTTTGAGCAATTGGTCTCCTCCCAGGTACCTGTGGAGGGGATTATCAGTTCTTATTCTCGCAGGACAGGTGATTATTAGGACTTTAAAGGGTAAGGTCCATTGGAGGAACACTCTTCAACAGCTAGAGAGAGTCGGTCCCAGATCAATTGGGGTCTGTCTGTTAACCTCAGCCTTTGTTGGCATGGCATTCACGATTCAGTTTGTTAGAGAGTTCACGAGGTTAGGGTTAAACAGATCAGTTGGTGGGGTATTGGCGCTAGCTTTCTCAAGGGAGCTGAGTCCTGTGGTCACATCAGTAGTAGTTGCGGGTCGTATTGGGAGTGCATTTGCTGCTGAGTTGGGAACAATGCAGGTTTCTGAGCAAACCGATACCCTAAGAGTTCTTGGGTCGGACCCAGTAGATTATCTGGTGACACCAAGGGTCATTGCTTCATGTGTTGCTTTACCGATTTTGACCCTGATGTGTTTCACAGTAGGGATGGCATCGAGTGCTCTCCTGGCTGATAGTGTTTATGGGGTTGGCATTAACATTATTTTGGATTCTGCCCAGAGAGCTCTCAGATCATGGGATCTAATTAGTGCAATGATCAAGTCGCAGGTTTTTGGTGCGATCATATCTGTCGTGAGCTGTGCGTGGGGGGTCACCACGTTGGGAGGTGCCAAAGGTGTTGGAGAGTCGACAACTTCAGCTGTGGTGCTCTCTCTTGTTGGTATTTTTATTGCTGATTTTGCCCTTTCTTGTTGCTTCTTTCAGGGAGCTGGAGATTCACTCAAGAATTGCGTATGATGTGTCCAAACATTTTGTCAATTTGGATTTGTATGTCTATTAGTTCCTTCTTTGTTGTTGGTTCTGTTTAAAATGGCTCCAAACACAAGCAGATGAACCATAAAATGGATTGGAATCCATGTATAATAGGTGGAAGCTTGATTCACCTTTAGGTGTTGATGTTTGTCTCCCTCATTTTCTTCTCTTCTAATGGTTATGGTTGTTTTGTTCTTAGTTCTCTTCGTACTTCCATTATTTGCTCTAATGGTCTACTGTTTGTGCTGGTTGGGTTGTCTTGATTTTATTACGAATGCTGGGTGCTCTGAGGCACATGTATGGGTCTACTTTTATTTTATTTTTTTATAAAAATAATAAGATATATTTGGAAGTATATCTAACACCTGTTGGAAGTATTTGATGAGTATCGATAACGCACAGGTATCCGACATGGACATAAATGCATTTTTGAAATTTGGATTCTTATATATAACTTCTGATGGCATTCTTTTATGCTGTGTCTGGTTGAGAGATTTGAGGAGGGATTTGGAAAAGGAAATGAAAAAGGTAGGTGAAATGTGAATAAAATATACTTATATTTTATCTAGTTTCACATATATTTTTCTTTTTTCTTTTTCCTTTTTCTTTCCTTTTCCCTTTCTAAATCTCTCAACCAAACACAGCATTAATAATATCTTATTTATATTGACTGTAATTTATTTAGGTTGGGTTTGGATTATGAATTTAGGTAGATTTTTAGAAATTTTTACCTTTTTATTTTTCTTTTTTTAAATTCATGATTCAAGTAGAGTTTAGTGTCATTGTGTATTGAAAAACGTATTTATGTATTGTTCATGATTTTATCGTGGTCTTTTGAATACCTTACATTTGTTTAGACCACCTTGTGGTTAAGTAGTGATGAACTAACAGTTTCCTTAAAGTTCTGCAATAGTAGCAATGCCGGGGAGATTTTTGTGATATTTGGTTATAATTTATTGTCGTGTTGGTTATGACATTTTGGTTATGATTGAAGAGGTTTTTGATTATGTCTTAAGTGGTATTTAATAATGACTTAGTTTTAACTTATTGTGATATTTATAGTTGTTATTTTGGTCATGACTAAAGATATCTTTAATTATCTTTCAAGTGGTATTTAATTATGATTTTTTTTAATTATATTGGTAAGTGATTTGATTATGACATTTTATAATATCAATATTATAAAATGTTATAATCTGTATATGATACACCATATTATGTTTGATTGTGAATGCAACTTGGAAAGGTTCTCATTACTCTTTAATATGGGTTAATTACACTTAACTTGTTAAGTCACTTAAATTTACTCTGGTTTACCATCTAAAAATAAATAAATTTAGTCTGGTTCTTTATTTTCAATTGTCACAGCTATTCTCTTATCAAGTTACAAACTTATTAGTTTGGCCATTCTTGATAGACTTTTGATATTTACATCACATTAGGTTCCGATCGAAAACACAGGAAGACGAGGTTAGGAAAGGCTACAGCAACTCATAATTTCTCTTTTTAAGGTGGATTCTTTATATTTTCATTGCAAGAGTAAGTTCAAAGTAGTGCTGTTTGGGGAATACAATCTAATTATACATGTTCGAGGTAAAATTCAAGTTATTGCGTTGCATGACCGAGCTAGCACGGAGGTTGAGCAGAGTTGCCAACTGGGTGGCGAGGCTTAGGGATGGCAACGAGACAGGTTTGCGGTGGGGCGGGAGCAGATTAATTTTGTTACTTGAAAAATAGAAAAACTAATAAAAATAAGAACTAATATAATATATTCTTATTAGTTTGGCCATTCTTGATAGACTTTTGATATTTACATCACATTAGGTTCCGATCTAAAACACAGGAAGATGAGGTTAGGAAAGGCTACAGCAACTCATAATTTCTCTTTTTAAGGTGGATTCTTTATATTTTCATTGCAAGAGTAAGTTCAAAGTAGTGCTGTTTGGGGAATACAATCTAATTACACATGTTCGAGGTAAAATTTAAGTTACTGCGTTGCATGATCGAGCTAGCACGGAGGTTGAGCAGAGTTGCCAACCGGGTGGCGAGGCTTAGGGATGGCAACGAGACGGGTTTGCGGTGGGGCGGGAGCAGATTAATTTTGTTACTTGAAAAATAGAGAAACTAATAAAAATAAGAACTAATATAATATATTAGGGATAATGATTTATAATTAGAAAGGGTTAAAAAGATATAAAATGATAAATAAATAAGTGAAATTGAATATGAAGTGTAATAAATATATTTAATAAATAAAATTTGGATAGTGGCGGAGGAGTAAAACCCGTCATTGCTCCACTTTCTCGTCGGGGCGGGAAAAACCTACGTGGACAGGACGGGGAAAAAATTGCCATTCCTTATAATAGGTCGGACGGCCAAGTACACAATTACTAGCATTCAAACTTACTTTCTAAGAGATATACAATTGTCATCATTTACTTAAACAGCAGAGAGTCTCTCGACGAATTACCCTAGTTAAAGAATATTCCATTTGTTGTTGTAAGAACAACGTGAGAGAAGTTTTACGATGTCTTACTTTCTAAGAAACATTATTTATTGAACATTAAGTTGATTTGTATAGTACCTAATTAATTTTGAATAAAAACAAACCTTATCAAGGAAAAGAGCTGGATTGCTGCAAAGAGAAAGCTAAAGCAATAGGGGCAAAGGAGATTACATGCAAAAGAAAAAGGAAAAGCAAAGGGGCAATTAGAAGAAACTTCTTGTTTTGACTCTATGATGCACCACCCAAAATACTTAGCATAAGAATGAAGAAAAGAATTCCACTGAGCTATTTATAAAAATATGCGGTGCTAATGATATTTGTACTGATTCAAATATCTCATAATTAAGCTCAACCTAATTGAGAAAAAATATGGTCGAGGTTGTGGTCTCTTTCGCAGCAGAATGGATTGGCAAGATGAGCACAAGACTTTCTATAATTTGGTTTTGGAAATCAGAGAAGTTGCTTATGATGCAGAGGATGTGGTCGCAATTTTTATATTTAAAGTTGAGCCTAGGGGAAGATGAGGCGTCCCAAGCATCCTCTTGAGATCAACTTGCTTCTTCAATGACCTCATAGCTCGACACAAGATTGGGTATGAGCTTATTGCTATTAAAAGCAAGATTACTCAGCTTACTGCAAATTTACAAATTTACGGCTCAACTGCTTTGACAACAAAGGCGGTCTCAATTAAGGCAGACTTATTCCCACATTGTGGATGAGGATTTTGTTGGTTTTGAACAAGATATAACAATATTAATTGCACAAATGAAGCCAAAAACTGTAGAGTTGTTTCAATCTGCAGAATGGGTGGTTAAGGAAAGACTACCCTTGCTAGGAAACTTTACTATCACCAAGATGTTAGGCGCCATTTTGATGCCTTCGCTTGGGTTTCCATATCTCAACAATGGCAACTAAAAGATGTTTTGCAAAGACTCTTAACTAAACTCATTCCGGAGAAAAGTCAGCAGATTGTGAATATAATAGATGATGATCAGCTAGTCAAGCAACTGTGCGAAGTTCAACAAGAGAAAAAATGCTCGATTGTTCTTGATGATATTTGGTCAACAGATGCTTGGCACATCTTTGCTCCAGCTTTCCCTAGTGAAAATGCAAGTAGCAAAATAATCCTCACGACTCGCAACAAAAATGTGGCAAGTGGTTACCTTTATGAACTCTAACGTTGTGTTTGGTTGGAGATTTGGAAAGGAAAATGGAAAAGGAAGGTGAAATGTAAATAAAATATACTTATATTTCACCTAATTTCACACTCCTTTTCATTTTTATTTTCTAAATCTTTTCCCAAATCCTCAATCAAACACAACATAAGCGTTTAAGCCAAGAAGAAAGCTGGAAGCTATTTGAGAAAAAAGCTTTCTCAAATACTGATGGAACAGGTTAGATTATCATGAAACTTCACACAATTTTGTCACCTAACTCTACTTCAATTTACATTTGTACTGTAATATGCTATCATACTTCGCCTTTAAATTAGAATAGCATCATCAAATTTTGAGGAAAATTATTTTGCCCTCTAAACTTTTACACGTTTTTAATTTGATTCACAGATTTTGATTAATATCAATTTTACATCTAAACTCTCGAAATTTTAATCAATTTGGCTCGTGCCGTCACATTCTGTTTACAATTAGACAGAATGTGCTGACGTGACACTAAAATTCATTTGGAATTTCATTTTATCTCCCAAACTATATCTTAAAAATCAATTTGCCTTCCAAATATAAAAAAATTAAATTTAAATATTTAATAAATATTTTTTTTGTCTCAATAATTAAAAAAATTAAATTATAAATAATATATAATTTGCAAAAAAATAATAATAAAATTCTTATTTAAAATTATCTTGAGACTATGAAGCATATTCGACAAACATGTCGTACTCGTACCGGATACTTACCGACGTATGGCATTTCTGCATACGTATTAGGTACACAAAACACGTACTTAAATTTTTCCTTCTTAATTTTTGGAGTACCCAGACATATCTAGTATATACCCAAGTTGGAAATGGTTATAAAATTCTGGGTAAAACCAGAATTTTTTCCTAAATTTGGTCTATTTTTTAGGTGGGCCCCGTGCGTCAATTTTCACGAGTCAAAATGGTAACGCGTTCTATGCCGCATTGTGATTCACGTAGTATATTTGGTTGTTCAAAACCATTACCGAGTGAATAAGAAATTGAAGCCAAAATGTGCTCCATGGAAATGGAGTTTTGGTGGAAAACCCTTAAAGGTTTGAATAAGGCTTGTTCTACATTGATTTGGTGGGAAGTTTTGAATGGGTATATAAGGCATGAGTTTGGTACTTGGGGTGTGTCCCAAGGGGTACCCAAGTGTTTTAGAGGGAGAGGTTATGGGCTAGACCCATTGGACCCAAAAATCACCACACACGCGTGCGCGCTAGACCCATTGGACCCAAAAATTACCACGCGCCGCCGTCTGATCGGGCTGGCTGGGCGCGGGTGCGTGGTGTGAGGTTGGGTTGGGCTTGTCCGGCTCAATACTAATCTTTTTGGGTCAAAAATATTTGAATTTAATTTTATTTTTGGTAAAATAAAATCCAGAATTCAAATTAAATTGGTTTGGTTTTTCTGTACATCCAAACAGGGCCCTTCCCGTATTAAACCGGAAATAATCTGATCCGGATTTACTGTACACCCAAACAAGGCCCTTCC